CCATATAACTTTAACTCCAATCAACTTAGACAGGTAAATGTCTAATAACTACTGAAAACTGCAGATAATGTTCTGAGAATCCACCAGACAGAATAGCACCCCGACGTTGCCAAATCTGCTTTTTTTTCACCCAGCCAACAAGTACAGCTTTTTTCTTTTAGGAAAAGCCTTAGCTCAAGGTACACAGTTGTGCTGATTTTCTGAACTCCCTTTCCCCATTTACTAAGAGAAACCGCCAAACTCAGCTAAAAGACATTGCAATAATACAACTGCATATACGACTATGTAATAAGGTGGAGATTATGATAACTGCACTGCTCTGAAACCACACGAACAACACAAGTGTGTACATACCCTTAGGCATGTAAAGAATGTAGTATTATGTATAGTATACATTTGAACTAAATTACCTAAATATAACTGACACCATAAGAAGTCCATTACTGAAATAGTACTCGACTAGGCTTAACCCAAAACCACGCGGAGACAACTATCTATGAATTTTATCATAAGCCAAGCAAACATTCCTCCTTATGTTTCCATCTTGAAATGCATATTCCATAATTCTCAAAAATAAAGTGATTAACTGTTTATTTAATGTTACTAGAAATAAATGGAAGCGTGCAATTATGTTTTCAGCTATAACCATTTCGCCAAGCACGCAAATATTGGAGAAAAGTCTAAACATAGAATAATTCAACCATTTTACATTATAGGCCTACTTTGTAACACAGCTTTATGGTATGTTTAATTGCCTGAACGTATTTCTATTTATCATATATATTTAGTGTTTTTTCTTTTTTTTTTCCTTAAATAAACTTAATTACTTTTCCCCCAGAGTGAACAGAAATACACAGGATGGAATATTTAACCAAGCATTTGATTTGAAAATGTTATTTTAAATGTTTTAGGTCAAGTCTGAATCAATGCACTGTCTGCAAAAAAAGAAAAAAACTTAATTACTGTTCAGCCATTAGAAAAAATTATATTGCCTTTTCATGGATGACAGCTGGGTGACGTTTGGGAATACTCAAAAGTAATTATCCATACAATATACAAAATATTTTTGACAACTTTTCTAATTAAAACATCCTTGATTTTTAATGGACACCTCAAACCTAATATGGTAGTAAGCCATAAAGTATTGTCTAGCGAAAAAAATAAACAAGTTTTCTTGCTCCTAGCTAAACTGCTTTGTGAAACACTTGCATGTTGTTCTTCGACAATAATTTTCATGGTACAACTATCAGCCCTATACTGTTTGTATTGTGGCAAGATTATAGGGGACTGACACCCATAAAGGAACTAGACATTATTGTTTGAGAGTGAGACAGTATGCCATGGTCAAACACATGAACTTTACAGACTGTAAGAAAGGTCAGTCTAGGATAACAGAGCAAATAATTATAGAAAAGCAATAATCAATACTCTATGCTGGGCAAACATAGGATATTAATGTATCATGTCAGTCTGATTGGTTGAATTTGGTGTAGCATCAAACATGAAAACTATGGACACTTTAAATACTACCATATACTACCAAAACCCAAATATATCTAGACACTCCCATATACCTTATCACAACTTAATATCTAGAGTGCTTTAACCTACCTAGCACAAAACTATAACACCCTACCGTATCCTACTACAAATTCAAAACACCCTACCATATCCGACCACAAATTCAAAACACTCTACCATACCCTACCACAAATTCAAAACACCCTACTAAAGGTATACTAAAGCCCAATATCTAGACACCCTACTATACCCTACCACAGCCTAAGAGCTAGACTTTTCATGAAAGTCTACCAAAACCTCATAAGTACCTACCGAACTCTACCACAACCCAGTGTCTTGATTCTCTGCTATACCTTACAACACGCAATTTAGACATCCTACCATACTCCATCACAACTCCATAACACCTTGTCATACCCTACCACAACCCAATGTCTTTACACTGATTTATACTCAACCACATACCGTACCCTACAACCCCATAACATCCTACCATACTCCACCACAACCCCATAACACCTTGTCATACCCTACCACAACCCAATGTCTTTACACTGATTTATACTCAACCACATACCGTACCCTACAACCCCATAACATCCTACCATACTCCACCACAACCCCATAACACCTTGTCATACCCTACCACAACCCAATGTCTTTACACTGATTTATACTCAACCACATACCGTACCCTACAACCCCATAACATCCTACCATACTCCACCACAACCCCATAACACCTTGTCATACCCTACCACAACCCAATGTCTTTACACTGATTTATATACTCAACCACATACCGTACCCTACAACCCCATAACATCCTACCATACTCTACCACAACCCCATAACACCTTGTCATACCCTACCACAACCCAATGTCTTTACACTGATTTATACTCAACCACATACCGTACCCTACAACCCCATAACATCCTACCATACTCTACCACAACCCAATACCTTTACATTCTACCATACTCCACCACCTAACATCTAACCTCTAATTCCCTGCCAGAACACTATAACTAGACACTTTACCATGCCCTACCACAGCCCAATATCTAGACACTATATCATACTCTACCACAACCCAATATTTAAGTACCCTATCATGTCCTACCATAGCCTAATTAGCATAATATTTAGATAACTTATCAAGCCTTACCATAACCCGATATATTGACACCATAGCCTACCCTACCACAGCCCCATAAAACCTTGCCATACCCATCCACAACCCCCATAACACCCTAGTATTCTCTTCTATACTATACTCTACTATACAATACTTCAATAAATAGAAAACGATACACAGTTTATTTTTCTCAAATGCAATTTTAGCTGGAAATCAAACGTGAGTTTAATTTTTTTTCTCCTCAGTACTAAAACACATAGTGAATGCATTCTTCCCAAAATACCTTTCTACTTCACACATATTTTTATGGCTTTCTCAGTGCTCCAATAATTGAAATTTATCAGATAGAGTATATAAAATATATTCTATTTTTCTACCTCAAAAGACCATTTTGAGAAGAGTCGACAGCGACCAGACAATATGGTATACTCAAAAAAAATAAAAAGTTGAAAAAAATTTGCATTAAAGGGTTTGAAGCTGATTGCTTCCAAGTGAAGACACTTTTCATATACAAATGTATTTTTTTCTTCCTCACTCCACAAATGGTGGCACAACAGTAAATTTACATACGCTAATCCAAACAATCTGTGCATGTGACAATAGCAAAACCTCACACAGGCTGCCTATTGTCGGTTTACATACCAGTGAGCTTTATGTTTGCTTGTAAACGACGTTTGAGCTGTCAAAGGTTTGCTTTGGACTCTAAATAAATGGTTAGAAAAGCGCTGTGCGGAAATATTAGACTTTTCTCCAAAGAAAACCTGCTGTGTATGAATTCCAAGGCTATTAATTTTTCAGTCAAAAATATGCATGCTCGTTGCTCATAATAAAGAAGCACTGTGTGGAGCAACGAAGGAAGATAATGTTAACCTGCCTGGCGGAATTCGATCGAGGAGTTAAAAATAAATTTGCTGGGAGGTCCCAGGCAACAGGAATATTATTTAATGAAAAAAAGAAGAAAATAATGAAACAGGCCTAAAAGGATTACTAAACTACAAAACAGAAGTCACCTTATCTAAGACAATCGCTGGTAAAGTTGGCTGCACAGATGAGATTTTTAAGTTTTTTTTTCAAGCAATCCAACCACAGGACATTCTTTCATACAGTAATAAACACATTTTTTTGGACAACTTGACCCCCCCCCCCTTTCATGATTTCCATGCAAAGGAGGCAAAGGAAAAATGGTAAATATTGACCAATATTTTATTTTATTATTACCTTCATTAGCTATGATAGTTATAAAATCCTTTGAATGGGCTGCAATAACTACCAAACTGTAACACTGTAAAGACAGTGGTGTGTAGTAGTAAATGATGATTGCTAAGATTACAGCACAGTGCTCAAAAAGTGTAAATTCAACCTAAACTGTTTTTTTTTCTTTTGGATGAAGCGTGGAAAGTAAGATTCTCTGTTGGATTTGTACTGTTGCCTGTATTCCCAATTTGGAGATTTCCCCTCACTTCCTGTGCTGGTGAAAGTGTCATCACTGAGACAAAAACTGGTGAGAAATCTCCAAGGAGGACACCAATCAGATGTTTTACTGCTATTCTGTCCCTCTTGGATGGCTTTTCCCTCACATTCTGTCCCATATGACAATGCTGTCACTGAAACAGGAAGCATAGCCAATCATTACTTTGGTGCCACTGGAAAAAAGCAGATGTATTTACCCATCTTCACTCTACCTACACCAAAAAATCTTTTTGGCTTGGGTTTTTCTTTAATATTTAAGATCAAATGTCTGAGGCAACAACTAAAGGCACTTGTTATAAGAGGAGGCTGCCATTGCCAACTATCTTCTGAAAATGTTAACTGCCAGGCTGCTGTGTTCAATACATTGATTTATTCTCAGTCAGTGAACCAGAAATATACAGATTAGTTGTGACTTTGCTTACTGCATATACGTTCATGCCAGTGACAAAAATGATTGAAGTCAGACACAGTCATGTAACCGGCCTTTTAAAAAGGTCAGCAGTGGCAACCCACAGAAAAGGGTAAGCTAACGTTTACAAAATGTATATCAATGAACTGTTAACCGTACGTGAAATAAAAATGGGGCCCCCTATTGATGACCATCTAAAATGCCAGATACCTAGCTGTCTGTGGCCAAAGCATGCAGTTGAATGCATAAGTTTCTACTGGTGCTTTTGCTGTACAAGGGAGCAGAGACTGGCTGCAATGGTGTATTATATATGCACTTTCCTATAGATTAGGATTATGAGAGGGTCTCCTTGCGTTTCAAAACCGTACAAAATCTTTTTCAGCCATTGTCCAGTTCCATTTTCTAGATGTGGCAGTAGCAGACATTTCTCAGTTGACCAGGAAAAGAAGTGTGACTTACAGGTTGAGGGCTTGCTTTGGGTTCTGTTGACTTCACATGTAAATGCGTCATCATGGCTTGGAGGCGATCTTTGTCTTTGGAAAGCTATGAAAAATAAAAACAATAAATAGCATGCTTTAGAAAAAGAATACCAACTATCGTTTATTAATATAGAGTCAAATGTACTCTGTTGTCTTTTCCAGGGAACACTGAATTAGTGACATCAGTCCTTGGTCCACCCTTGAGTTTTGTCCATAAGGTCATTAAATGCCTACAGACTTGGCAACAGTTCAGAATTTACACCTAAATATGATGGATTCAGGTTAACTGATACTGAATGCTACACGTTGTTCTTATTGTTGCTCTTTGCACTAAAGGAAAAAACATAGTGAAAACATTTTACTTTACGATTCAGGAATGTTGGAAGACTGTTTTTCATTAATACATAACAATCTTCTATTTAGATGTCACTAATGCTTGCTGCAAGCCAGTTGAAGTGGAACACCTGCTAATACTTTCAGCAGGACTGACAACACTGTATGGAATTTCAGTGCCGCAGAGGCACTGTGTTGTCGGCTCACTACAGGAAATTAGGAGTGCAATGGATTTTCAACAAATTATTTTCTATACTACTGGAAATTCAAACAGGTAAAACACAGGGAAATGTGCATGAATGGCAAAGATGTACCAAATTTGTTTTGTATTTTTTTGGCCAGACTTTGGACCCTCCAGTTATGACGCCTATCAATCATGGCCACCGGTCAAATGTCAACGTGATAATAAATGATAGAATTGCATCAACTGACCCCCTCCAATATGCCCGATGCTTGAATTTCTAGAAACGTCTGTGAAAACACTGAAATTATCCTGAAAGGCACATAATTAATCTTGCTAGGGGGAGGATGATGAAACCAAGTGTACCGCATCACCTGAAACTTCAATTTAAACCCTATTAGTATCTGCCCTTAACAAGATATGCGAATGTAATCATTGCTGCAACCATTTTATTTGTATTCTTTTCTGCAGAGCTGCCTGAACGTCGGGCGCATAGAATGACTTATAATTCTCAGCCTAATGCCTGTGACACGCTGTCTCCGCTCGCTCTTGTTCAATTACATAATATCAATGCCTGCTCGAATCAGATATTCTGTTGTACTGACACTACAGGCGATATGTAAAGTTCATGTTTTGGTGGTAAAAAAAAAAAAAGAGCAGTTTGTAAAAAAACAACATGAACACAAAATTTAAAGGGAAAGCTTGGTGCTTAATCCATGGGGGGATTTTTAGAAGTAGGTGGGGAATTTTTTATTAAAAATTAATTCACAGTTTTACCTAGAAACCCGTATAAGAAAAATGACATCTGGAAAGTGAATTTTCTCCTCTTATATCTTTAGTACTCTTGTAGTCTCTCTTGGTGTTACATAGCAATAAACAAGATTTATCAAATGTTTAAACGTATATTTCTTTTTTGTAATCAACATTCGATGGGATTAAATACAATACAGGTTCTGCTGGGGTGCAGGTTGCCATGAGCAGCACACTGTTCACTGTAAGAGCTTACCCTCACTTCTGTGGAATCATTCACCTTTTGTAACACAGTACATGTTACACCTGTATTAAGGGTGTAACATGTTACTGTTGCAGCAGCCCCCACATCCCCCCAATCCACCGTTGTGACAATGAGCCAGGGATCCTCTCCCTGCACCCACTGTCACAAAAAAATATCTTCCATGTGAGGCCGTATCATTCATTTATGAGTTCTGTGAATGGGAGAACCACAAGTACCGTCAACCTTTGTGGTTATTGACTTGCAGTTCTCAATTAACCACCAGGGTGCGGATGAGCACTCTAAGTAGTTTATTACTGCTTTCTGTCATTGTATAACTACCTGCCCATACAAGGTATGAGCTGGCAGCCTACAATGACAAGTCTGTAGGAGCCTCGCATTGCAATGCTTTGCAGGCTCCTAGTAAAAAAATTATAAATGCACATTTTTTTTACCTGCAAAAAGATGTGCACTTTATTTTTTTTTTTTTTTTTTTACAAAGGTAATCTGCAACGCCAACATTTTCAGGGCTGCTGGCAATTGCAATGACATGCTATTTTTATGAACATTTCAGGAACTCCACTGGTAATATATTGCTGAAAACGTTCCTATCTCTACCAAATTAACTGTGACTATTACAAGGATAAAAAAATGGTGTCAGGTACTTCTGATATAGGAGGCTGCCTTGAAAAGAATCCAGTAGAACTGAAGAAAATGGTTCAGGATGACAGGCATTCAACAAGCATTTTCAGAATTGCAGCTTCTTTCATGGCAGGTTTACTTCTGTTCTTCTTTGAGTGTATGTTATGGTTTTTTTCATTTTGAATGAGTTGGGCTCTCTGTTACTTTTTATGGCTAGACCTTGAGAAAGGCCAGGCAACCCAAAGGCATCATTTTCTGTAAAGCCCCTGATCTGCTTTTATTATGTGGCTGAAGATGTTGTCATGGTGGGTGTATTCATGTTAACCAGAAGTTGTGGATTCAAAATGTTTGCCAGTGCTGTGATGATCTGTTGTGCCATACTCAGGTAGGTGAGCACTGTGTTTAGGTTTGGAGAGAGAAAACATAGATGCTGGAGTCTGTTTCTGACACACAATTAAAAACCGAACAAACTGCTTGACTAAGCAGCTAAAAGTCTTCAACAATATGATGCAAGTCTGGTTGAATGGGACTAATTACTACTAGCTATAACACAGCCCCCTACTCACTGACTTGTTTTGGAAAGCCAGGGTTACTGGAAGCTTGCAAAAACATCTCACATCCTACTGACATCTTAAAGGCAAATCTTACAACCATCCCACATCTTAGTTTTTACAATCTTAAGAATCCCAAAAGAACTTGGACCAGCCTGGTCGATGAACTGCTGTATTAAGATGGATTAAGGTATGGCCTAATGTGTCTATTTTTAGTAAAAAAAAGTCAGGAGGTATATGGAAGCCAAGTTTATAATACATATGTATTATTTATTTTGTCTGTGTGTGCATGTACTATGTCTAGATTAGCTGTTGAGATGTTGAACCACCTTTAACCCCAATACAGCTGCTGCATGTCTTGAAATCAATTTCCAAAGTGTCTCAGACTTAAGGCGTTAGACATTACTGCTTCGTCCATGTGTCCAATATGATCTATGTTTGTGGATACTGCATGGGCATTAATGTACGCCTATAGTCTACCACCATGAAGGTTCGTGAAGGTTTTCCAGTGATCAACAGTCAATTGATCTTGATTGATCTCACACCTACTGCAAACATTTTTAGCCATTTACTTTGGAAAGGGGAGGTAGAACTGTATAGCCATCTTTGTGCATCCCTGGTTGTTTTATACCCCACAATTATATTATGTTTTTAATTTTTGTACTGTTGATTAACAATTTGCCATCATAGCCAAGTTTTCTGACCCCTTCCATATTTGTCCATTAGGTGCCTTCCTCACAAAACTACCATTTTCATTTGATATCTTCTGACCTTTTTGACTGGGACCAGTCTGGACTCCTTCACATCATCCATTAAACAGATTTTATTGATAAGCTACTCATCTATATGTTTGTGTGCATTTTATCTAAACATAATGCAAAGGAGATGTACACACATACATTTGCTCACCACTGTAGATATAAAGAAGAAAAAAATATATTCCTCGCTTGAATTGGTTTTCTGATAAAATTGACCCTTTCTCCTACCATAAAATAATTGGAAATTACCATTTATAACAATAATAAAAAACTATTGGAAGCACTGAGATTTTCTGTAGAAAACAATGTTTGATGTATTATTACCACTCTAAAAACTATCAGCTGTAAATCTTAATAAAAGTGCATAATTACTTGGTGTGTGGCTAGTTCCCCTTTATATGACCACATCACCAACTTCCCCCCTGTAATTGTTTCTGCAAGACTCGATAATTTACGCTTCACACTACGATACCAGGAAATAAATTAGGCCATAGCGGGTTAATGAAGACTACAATGGGAGGGAAGGCTGAAATCAAGGGCCAGCAGAATTCATGCAGGAGCCAAAATGACACAAGACGAATTGAGAGAGGAATTAAAATGTTATGTAATTAAAAAGATATATGCTTTTTTACAGAAAGAGAGCAACAACAGAAACTTTAAGTCTGTTTTTGCAGATATTTCTTGGTGACTATTTGAAGCTGCAAATGACTTTAAAACTCTGTAAAATTCCAAATGTAATTATCTTCTCTATTTAGCCCAGGGCCCTCTATATATCTTCGTAATGCTGCCTTGCATATAAAGCAGCCATTTCTGAAGGCATACTGTAATTTAAAATTAGCACAAGTGCATGAAAAGGAACGGGTTAATCGGTCACCTTTGCCAAGGTGCTCTTGAGACCAAATGCCCAAATATTAATTTAGTAGGAAACAATCAATTGAGTCCATATTTTTTTTTTGCTAGTGAAATTATAAAGTTTTGCTATATTGAATATGTTTGTGGGAAAAATAAGCTGAACTAGTCTTGGGGAGCAGGCAATTCCGATCTGGATGTTCACTTGTCAACAAAATTCTCTTGTACAATCTTTCTTAACTACAAAAAAATGATCTATAGAAAGTAGATATTTTGAGCTTTTTCTGCCGTTTCAATATTATCTGATCACTATTGTTTTTCTCTCATATAGAATTATTTATTAGGTAAAGAAAATTATAACTATCTAGGATATAGGGCTTATAAAAGATTTTGTTAGAGAGACTGCATACAAGATTGACAAACAGTGTCTTAAATGTTTAGATTAAAGATGACCATAGATGGATCAAATTTTGGCTGGTTCAACTGGGACTGGCTGAGATTCGATCCATCTGTGGGCCGGCTGGATGTGCTGAAGATGATCCATTGATTAACCAGCCTGTTGGGATTTTTTGCATGCAATTACTGCCGGCAGCTATAGCTGCTAGCAGTGATCATTGTGTTCTGCTGGCATTGAAGGCTCTCTGCCAGCAGAACAGGATAGTGCACAACAGCAGAACACAATCAAGCAATTTTCTTTCCTTCTACCTGTGGTGAAAGGAAAGAAAATTGTATACTCTATTGCTTGCTTAAGGATCACTGGCTCATGAAAGGGCCCCCGTGAAAGGACTAATTGTGGATCTCTCATTCAACTACTGCCCAAGTACAAACACTCATTTACTGCATGATAGATAGATAGACAGATAGATAGATAGATAGATAGATAGATAGATAGATAGATAGATAGAGAGTAGCATTTGCAAATGATAGCATACCAGTGTATGTGTTATAAAAAGTAAATATAGGTCTAAGTATCTTAGCACATCCTTGACCCACATCTAGTTTAAACAGGCCAACTTCTCATGTTGAGGATGCCATAGAAACAGGAGGTTGGTGGGCCATGCAGCCACTGGCCTTCAGTACCTGCAATGTCTGAATGCATTAAGAACATGCCAAAGGAAAGGGCATATAGATGAACCATAGCACTTATTGCAGGGAAAGATGGTGGGGTGAATGGTCTCTCATAACATGATATTATCATATGGACAAGCCAAAAAGTGTAATAGTCCAAAGGAATCAGATTTCGGTTGACTATAGTCAGATATGTGAAGAATCAATTCCGCTCAGTCGCCATAAATCAGTGCAATTTGTGCATGAATATTTGTCCTAAATTAACTTCCAGAACAATAACCTATAAAAATATACCCAGTCATAAACATGTTGAAAATACTTTCAAAAAAGGACTTGCATGTGCTTATTTAGCCTTCCCTCATTCATCTATCAGGAGTTTTCCTTCATGCGTTTCCTGTGTCAATGATGATGATGTAACTGAAAGGGGGTGGGGTGACTCAATCCATACTTCCAGTGACTCTCTCAGAGTTAATAGGTTTCGGTCATTACCTGAACCAGCACTGGTCAGTCATTAGGAAAGAGACAAAAACCAAGGCATTTGTCAATAAAGTAAAAAATAAAAACTATGAACTGTTGACAGATTTTGCCCCTTGCTGTAAGCCAATATTTACTTTTTTCAGCAATGTATTAGTAAAAGGACACAAAACTTTACTTTCTTATAAAACTGAATGCCCCTTCATCCTTTTTGATGACGATAATAAGATAAATATCCAAATTATTTAATGTTGGTTTTGTCAACCAGCTAAATAAAGTAACCCCAAAACCTTTTTTTCTATATCATGTATAGAAATTCGTCAAGTGGCCAGGTTGTAATTAACAGCAGTATGTGGATATGCTTCCAATTTACTGAGCTCTGGAGTTTCCAGTGAAGGGTGCTGTGAACCCTAAATCATTGAAGGACAAATGTGTGCTTCCAACTTTGCAGCACAAGTTTGGGGAAGGCCATTTTCTGTTCTAGCATTACTGTGCCACTGTGCACAAACTAAAACCATAAGTTTGGTGTGAAGGAACTCAAGTGGTCTTCACAGAGCCATGACCTCAGACCCTGCTGAGCATCTTTGGGATGAGCTTAAACACCAGGTCTTCTCATCCAACATCTAAAAATGCTCTGTTGGTGGACCGGGCACACTTTCCCACATACACACTCCACAATCTTGTAGAAAGCCTTTCTAGAAGACTTGAAGCTGGTAAACCTTTAAAGGAGGGGCCATCTACATAATACTGCTCATGGTTCTGGAATTGGATGTCCAAGAAGTTCATACGTGTGATGGTCAGGTGTACACAAACCTGTAGTGAACCTATAGACACACTATAGACACAAGTATTAACTATTCTGAACAAGCAGTTAAAGCACCTCAAAACAAGCCCCCTTTTCATCTCTGTATCTAGAACTATTTTTTAAAAATAATTTTCAAAGTTCACAAAACAGGCACTGAAATCGTACTATTTCTATGAGAACTGATCTTGGCAACCTGTCAGCCGTCTAATGTAAACACACAGCAGGTGTTTTCTAAGCTGTTAGAAAGACTGTAGAGTCTTTGTTGTGATTGCTGAGGCTCTTTGAGAATGAAAATCTTCACATTAAAGCTGTGGTTGGCTTGTTTCAAAGCCCTTTTTCAGCTAGTTTAATGTCCATAGTTGGGGCACAAGAGTATGTCACCAACCACCTTTCCGCTTACATGTTTATGTTTTTGGGGGATTTGTGATGGAAGTGAACACATGTACTGTAAATGTTTTTTGTTTTAAAAAGCCACTGTCATGCGTAATAATATTTTTTGGAAGGCCTTTTTGGTTCCTGTTGGTTGCCACACTGTAACATAACCGTTTATCTTGTCTGGTTGTTCTCGGTTAAGCATATTGCACATTTTATTATTACCTGATTAAAATAAAGGTCTATGCCTGGCCATCCATTTTCTAATAGATTCCCAAATGAGATAGATAGATAGATAGATAGATAGATAGATAGATAGATAGATAGATAGATAAAAGGATACACGCCTTCTAAATAGAAGCCATACAGGAACTATATTTCAATTAGAAAACATGAAGCCATTGAAATTGGTGACAGCGTTTTACCTGTAACTCTAATTGCTGTACAACTTGCATTTGAACTCGACATTGAGCCGTGCTCCTGTCATCCAATGCATGCTCACTGTTGAGATGTCTGTAATGACAAAAGAAGAGATAATGAGGATTGGGTAACTTCCCTGCCTCAGATTTAGCCATGATTTAGGGTTCAGTCTAAATGGTAGAGTGGTACATCCTGTTCATAACACTGAACCTTAAACACAATTGCTAAATGGGAAGAAAGCAGATAGGTTAAACACTGTGGAAAAAATTACACATGGCTGGCTCCTGGATATGTGTGGGCTGTTAACCAAAGCACTGAAGAATTGTACGCTTATTTCATTACATGTTTTAAGCCTGATTATACACTATGTAGTATTCACAAGTGGTGGACCAATTTGAGTGTCAGTTGTGACAACTGCATTTTGTATGGCACAACAATTGACAAAACCCAACCTTCATTGTTCTGTGAATAATTTTTGGCATGATGGAAAATCTCTTTTAATTGGCACTGAATGCATAATAGTACTGAACAGACACTGCACAAAGAAAACTGTATGACTTAGGAGAAATGATGGAACCAGGTACATGCACTTGGCAATCACTTTAATGGCAAGAAGATTTTAAAGACATCTACTATATTTGTTCATCTGTAGACAAGGTGACCTATCAGATATTTGATAAAGGTTAGTAAAAACATACATTTCATCACCACTCCACCTTTTACCTTTAACAATTTTATAGTGCCCATAAACATGAGATGGCAGATTGAAGATTTGACCTGAGAAAGAGCGTTTTCTAATTGGTGCCTATATATACAAACTCATATCATCCAGATGTGTGTGTTTATGCAAAGTGCAGACAATCAAAAGAAGCTGGTCTTATCTCTTGAGAATAACCACAACTGAACTGAAAATAGACATCTGATATGATCAGCCTTCTTTTAATACACTCCCCCAAAAGTCAACTGGTCTACGTATCATGGTAGTCAACTACATATAGCCATTAACTGACCCAGCTATTTTATCATATTAAGGAGGTATTTACTATAGAGCTGCAGAGTTATAGGATAATGTTTTCCTTATTTTGATTCCCTCTTCTGATCAACTATGGAAATTTTGATCAAAAATTACCAGGAGAACTGAAGGGTTTGCAGGCCATATTAGAATGAGTTCCAAGGCTCTGTATAGCTTAGAAAACAAAAAAATCAAGCCCTCCCTTGTATTTTTATTGGCCTGAACAGCTAAAGTTTAGTTGGAAATATAAACAAACAAATAGCATGTTGCCTCTGCCAGCAGTTATGACAACAGTAATCACATGACAGAGGGGGAAAAGTTTGTACAGAAGAGTGCTGTTGTTCAGGTGGGCCTAGGACAAGCAAGCATGATGTCTAAATACAGCCCTGGTTAAATATATGGATGTGTAGGACTATGGTTTAATCTGTGAGCAGACCAATGAAAGCTGATCTTCGCTTAGTTGCCAAAGGTTGCTTTCTTACATTGCATCTTAGTACAAAAATGCCATCACGTACCAAGAGGATTTAAAAAAAATACAGAAAATGCCACAAATGATGTGCCTGTGCTGCATTCCTGAATGAGTTGACAAATGCCGGTCATTCTAGTTCTTAATCTAGGCACTGGCATGAAAGGTGTGAATAATCCAAAACAAAAACAAAGCAATAACTAAGAATAAAAATAACATAAAAGGCAAAACAATAACAGAACAAAAAAAAATTTAAACCACATTCTTCAGAAAAATGTCATTGATCAAGAATCTCTTTTAACTTCAAAGTCACTGTCAATGTGTTTTTGTTTATACATCTTTTATTTATTTCAACACAGTATAGTGTTAGCGTTAAAAGCTACAGATATGCTGATTGTATTTATGATTTAGTTGTATACTCAGAATCTTCTCTATCATTGATTCACCCAATTTTATTCCACTCCACATTCATAACTATACAGTTGCCTTCATTGAACTTCAAGTAGCTGCGTAATCACCCAGCATGTTTCTAGATCAACTTGTATGTTAAGAGATATCTTCCTTGGACTGTATTAAAACACAAAAGATAGTACTCTGAATTCCAAACTCTGTATCATTCATAAACAATTTTGGATTGAATATCATGGGGTACACCACCCAAAGCACCCCTACTGAGAGAATTTGTTTACAGCCTTACTGAACACATTTTTTCCTGTGCTGCCTACCCTGTAACCAGCCATAGACATCAATAGGCCCCAGTTCAATGGAAGGGTTTCGACTAATTTAAGTCTACGGAAAGTTACTACTCAACTGGGGTGCAGCACAGGACAAGATTTTTGCAGAAAGGCTGTAAACATAGCGGGAGGCCTCTGCCATAGATAAGAAGTAAGCAGCCATTAGATTTAGCTTAAAACAGGTTAGGGCATATTATTTTTATGTCAACATGTCTTTTAAGCCAGTTTTATATATTGTGTTTTCTAAGCCAACAGACCTTAAGTTACTTTGAGCTGTTTGTGAGGGATTGTGTAAATGCTTTAAGAGGTCCAAATACGCTACAGCTACAGCCACCCATCTGTCCACGTTTCTATTTACTTCCTCTTAAAAAGAGATTTATTGAACAGTATCTGTATTTCATAAGACCATGCTGGCTATCACTTAGAACATTGTCTTCTATCACATATGTGGTTCCCTAACGAACCACCAGATATATTTTCTACAACATTTAAACTTTATGCATAGCTAAAAATGTTTAGAACAGATAGCCCTCATTGGCTTGATTACTCCCTCTATTTGTCCTGGAGACCACTATCATAGAGCCAAAAAGACATGGGAAATCCAAAGGTTACAGTTGTCACCAGAACAGGAAGTAGGAAAAAGCTTCCAATGGCGACACTTGTTCCAGTGTCAACTGTCAAAGAAGGAACTTCCCCCCCATGCTGTAGAGAATTTCCTCTCACTTCCTGTTGTGTCTTCAATACAAGAAGTGAAAGTAAATCTCCTTTCATTCCCCTTTATTAGGACACAGTAAAATTAAACTGGCTGAGGCTTTAACCCTTCCTTACTCTATCCAAAACTGAAAGCTTTTGACTATATACACAATAAGCTTACAGGTAGTTGAACATTGACAAATGTCTGACCATCAGCTGTTTACTGGCTTATTTCTGTTTTCATTTTCTTTTAGGTGGTCGCCTTTCTTTTTCTTGGTCAGGCCCCTTTCACATGAGGTGATTAGCTGCATGCCCCATGCAGGGCTGTCTTTTACCAGCACAGGAATTCACGTGTTGCATGTATTTCTGTGGCGGCATCCATTGTGATCAGTTGAGACATGTACCTGCACAGACACAGTCACCGTGTTCCAATATGACTTGCAGTTGTGGGTTCCCGAATTCAACCTGTGTTTGTTTTGTTTTTTTTGTTTTTGGGGACCTGAACCTCCACGCACCTGTATATCATATCGGGACACAGATTGTTCCTGCGTGTCTCAACAGATGACTGTGAGACATCAGCATGGGGATGCATGCAACACCTGCCGTTAAAAGACAGCCCTGCACGGGGCACGCAGCTAATCGCCCCATGTGAACGGGGCCCTAGGAGTCACAGGGTAAATACAAAACCACATTATTCTCGTCATTTTTTAATAGTGTCTAATCTGATTTTTGAAAATAATCTAAGCATTTTTAACTACTACCTATGGTGGAATTTCCTCTGGTCACAACAGTTTTCATCAGCAGTCCTAAAACATACAATGAGTCCAAATTGGATGCTTCCAGACTCGGCCTAGCCTATTCCTGTGGCTTTGGTGGAACATCAGGCTGTACGATCCACAGGGGCATATACTCAGGAATGCTTTACTGATTTCCAATAAGTACTGTAAAATTGGACCATATCATATAAATGAAGTGTAATCCAATGCAAGTATTTTCTTATATATTACATGTTTAGAAAAAAAATGTTTAACCACTTGAGCTCCAGAGGATTTACCCCCCTTAATGACCAGGCCTCTTTTTGCTACTCGGCGCTGCACTAATTCAACTGATAATTGCGCGGTCATGCAATGCTGCACCCAAACGAAATTTACATCCTTTTTTTCACACAAATAGAGCTTTCTTTCGGTGGTATTTGATCACCTGTGCGCTTTTTATTTTTCACGCTATAAACAAAAAAAAGGCCAAAAATTTTGAAGAAAAACAATATTTTTTAATTTCAGCTATAAAAAATATATAGTAAACTCAAAGTTGGTTATAAATTTAGGCCAAAATGTATTCTGCTCCATGTTTTTGGTAAAAATCCCAATAAGTGTATATTTATTGCTTTGTGTGGAAGTTATAGAGTCTACAAACTATGGTATAGATACTGCAATTTACGCCATTTTTTTGCTATACAGCGCTGCGCTAGTTTAACGGACAATTGCGCGGTCATGCAATATGGTACATAAATTAAATTTACATCCTTTTTTTCCCACAACTTGAGCTTTCTTTCGGTGGTATTTGATTGCCTGTGCGGTTTTTGTTTTTTGCGCTATAAAAAAAATAGGCTGACAATTTTGAGGAAAAAAAAACAATATTTTGGACTTTTTGCTATAAAACATGTCCAGTAAAAAAAAATTTAAAAATCAAATTTAGTCATAAATTTCTGCCAAAATGAATTCTGCGACATGTCTTTGCTAAAAAAAAACAAAAAACAAATACGTGTAAATTAATTGGTTTACGTGAAAGTTATAGCGTTTAGAAATGGTGGGAAAGATACTGGGATTTTTAGGTTTTTTTTTATACTAATAATGGCGGCGATCGGGGACTTATGGCGGCGATCAGGGACTTATGGCGGGACTGCGGCGGACATTCTGACATTGGGGGGTACTGACTTGGGGTCACTGACATCCCCAGTGACACCAATACAGTGACCAGTGCAAAAAAAACCCCACTGACACTTTACTAATGGCACTGGGGAGGAAGGGGTTAAGTTTATTATTCAGGGAAAGGGTTAACTGTGTGAGGGGAGTGTTTTACTAGGGGGCGGGGGTGTGTACTGCAGGGAACACCGCTGATCGGGAGAGAGAAACTCTTCTGTCCCGATCAGCGTGTCCTGCAGCTGTCAGGGAACTGACAGAAAGCACAG